TGCCGCATCTTGTCAAAGGCGCCGTCACGACACCAAAGATCGCCGCGTGTGGCGTACACCGACAGGAAAATTTGTAATTTTAAAACTAAGTGCCATAGTAAAAGGTTCTTTGCTACCTAACTTGTGTTTATTATTTATATTCGTATTTTATTACAATTACCATAAGAATAAAATAGTATTATATTTTATTTTTAGAATAGAAAAAACATTTAATAAACAATCACATTAAAAATAATAAATTAAAGCAAAATAATAAGTGCGCCCCGGGTGTACCGACACTATCTTAGCGAACAGACTATACTCGCGTGCACTGAGGCTCCAAGCGGTACTTATTACAATGAGGTAAAAGTTTATCCAGTGGTCGGTCCTCTCAGCTGAGGCATCACTATGAGAGGACAGAGCGTTCGCCGCATCACAAAAGTCGGGAGACACGTTATGCTCGTCAAGAATAATACACAATTATTAAATTATATAACAATTAAAATAGATCAAATATAAATTTTCGAAAAAGTTAGTTTTATATTCATAGTTATTATTTTAGATGCTTGTCTATTGCAAAAAATATTATTAAATATATGTATGTATATTTTATCAGATTTAATATTATAATAAAAGAATAATACACTCAGCGTCACAAAAATCGCACCTCCTTGAGTTTGCGCGAAAAATGGCTGTAATGGCTAGAAACGAATTATATTTATATAAATATTGGTATGTTTGAAATGGGTATTTGAATAGCTTTACATTAGTAATAAAAAAATCATGAAATCATTAAAACATTTATCATTATAGAGCGTCAAAAATAAACACTGTCAAATGCTCGTTAGTAAGGACGCTAGTTACACCACCTAAAAAGGGTATAAAAGGGTCGATCTGGATGAAATATGGGTCAGTCGTAATTTAGAACGTAAACAAGTAACCCAAGTAAGAACAAGTAAAGATGGACACCAGTTCTGAAGAAGCCGCTCAAGTGATTGCCCTATTGCAGTCGGGGATGCGGCAGTGTGACGTTGCTCGACAGTAGAATCTGTCCCGTTTTTCAGTTCGACGGGTGTTCCAACGTTTTTAGCAGACTGGTGGTTATGTTAGAAAACCGGGATCTGGAAGAAAACGGTGCACATCAGAAAGAGATGACCGTTTCATCGTTACGACATCTTTACGAAACCGTTTTACAAATGCTGTTGAGTTGCAACAACAGCTTCGATCATCTCGGAGAACATCTGTGAGTGTTTCTACGATAAGAAGAAGGTTACACGAAAAGAGTTTAACAGCCCATAGACCTGCTAAAGGTCTAAAACTTACTGCAGAGATCGCCTAGAGTTTGCTCGCAATCATTGCGAGTGGACTCTAGAACAGTGGCGGACCGTACTCTTCTCTGATGAGACGAGCGTCTGTCTCTTCTGCAATGACAGACATAGAAGGGTCTACAGAAGACAGGGGGAGAGGTTCACACAACCTTGCTTCGAAGAACCCTTCGAATACGGGGGTGGCTCGTGTATGTGTTGGGTCGACGGGAAAACGGAACTTGTGTGCGTTTCCCGGACTCGGGGCGGCCGTGGCCAAGGGTCATTAAATGCTGGTCGGTACTTTACTGAAATCCTGGTGGAACATGTGGTCCCGTATGCTGGTAATGTCGGTGATGGATTCATGTTAATGCACAATAATGCTCGTTGCCACACCGCGGCTATTGTACGGGATTATTTACAGGAGGTCGATATCCCTGTTATGCATTGGCCAGCACGAAGTCCAGACCTTAACCCAATAAAACATCTCTGGGATGACCTAAAACGGCGCGTGCGAGCTCGAGATCCAGCTCCAACCACTCTTCAAGAGCTCCAAGATACTTGAAGAGTGGGAACAAATACCCCAAGAGGCTGTTGCGAACCTTGTAAGATCCATGAAAGATCGCATGGAAGCCGTTATCAAGGCAAGGGGGGGGTAACACTAGGTTTTAAGAACTTTTTTTGTATTTATTAAGTTTTTTTTTAAATTATTAATTTTCAAATTTGTACATACCCTTTTTCTTTAATTTCTCTTTCGTCTCGTTATAAAAGTAAAATTCAATTGAAATTCCTGAAAGCTAATGAAATTACCTTTCGAATGATACCCTCAAACCACAACATTGCCATTGGCCTGTTGTGTTAAAATAGTATTTTAATTATTTTTTTCGGATGTGCGATTTTTTTGACGCCGAGTGTAGTTCATATTATATGTCGTACCAATAAAAAAGCGTTTTAAAATGGCGGTCGTTATTGACGTATGATCAGAAAAACAAACTGTATGATTATTATTTTTTATTTTAAACCGATTAAAAAAGGAGTTAGTTACCAAGTGGTCCGTATTTTACATGTAACATACATATATACCGAAAATACAACTCATGTGGGACATATTTACCGATTGTAAAACGATTTTAATGGTTCCCTTTTTAAGAGGAGTATTACAAAAAAACGCGAAATCACAAGGATTTCTCGTTTAAATTATATGTTTTCCGTTCGTTGCTTGAAATAATAATTACTTGTTAAAAATAGTTCGTTTTCTCTTCTACAATAAGCTTAAGGCAAATTTTAGATAACCTATTTATTTATTTAGTAATAATCATTCTGCCGATGCATGTTTAGGCCAAAACTCTGAGAGACATGATTTGGGAGCTCTAGTTTGTATATTCTATTGAATACCGACCATCAAAAAAAATATTTTATCTCACAATTATCCTATAGTTTAATATTAATTAAATTTATTTTCGTTATATGCCTTTCACGTAAGGAAAAAAATCGACATATTTCAATTATCTACCGAAAAAGCTTCGATACAAGCCACAATATCTCCAATAAAAAATAAACTTTATATATATCAGTATTTGCTTAATATAATACTATAATTTTTACTTTTTTAATCGTTACTATTATTTTTTAATTACTCAAATAATAGTACCATATATTTCACTGCGTCGCCCATCTGAATTCACTACCGGTACCGCACCAGCGGCTCTCGAGGTCGGACCTGTGTCAATTTATTTCGCGCGCTTCGTCTCGTTTCGATATTATCGTAGTGTGCGTCGATGACCGTGGCGCTGCTATTTTGTGCTAGAGCATCGTCAACTACGCCCGCAATTTTTAACCGTTTAAAGTATTTACTTTCAGTACAGTATATTTCAATTAGTATAAAGTTCGCAATATTATTATACCAGACAGTTAACTAATAATAGTTATTTTGATTGTAGCTCAGCTTTCTGGAATGGAATCTGAATTGGAATGGGGAAAAATAAATACAAGTATTAATGTGTCACTAAACGTAAAAAAGGAAATATCCCATCTTTGGAGAATAAAAATGTCTGCGTGCTTGCCATATGGACTGGCCCAGATTATGCAGTAAAAGTACTAAACGTCTACAAAGACGACAAATTTTGGATTTTGAACATGTTAGCCAAGTTACAAGCGTTTTATAAAAAGTGTGCGCTGCCTGAAATTATTGACTCGAGATAAGCTCGGTGAATTTGGTAATTGACTGTAAGTATCGATTAACAAAATATTACTTACAGTTGGTTATTTAATTTTTTTAAACAGGTTGCCACCGTACTATTTATTTATTTACACTACTATGCTACCGTTAATAGATATAATCGATTATTAACCAACATCGCTTAACAATCGATTACTGTGAAACAATTAAAATATTTATGTGTACTTATTTCAACACGGTTCATAAATAATGAAAAATATATCAAACAGATTTTAATAAACTAATCAGACTATAACTTAAAAATGACACACCAAAAATTTTCCATTGACCGAACTCCATCCTAAGAAAACTTGTATAATGGAAGATCAAGATCGCTTAGTCGCTACACTCACAGTACCATAGTAACAAAATAATTGTAGCTTTATGATTGACGTCTTAAAAAACGTTACATACCCACTGCGCGAAGCACTCAAGTCATTGTTAAGTCATTGTGCCACGGAGCCGTCGAGAAGTAATTTGTTTTAACATGTTTGGCGGATATCGATTATAGCTTATTTAAAATACATATCTTATTAAGACCCTCACACATTAAAATAAAAAATAAACTAAATGAATACAGTTTTTTTTTTGCATGAAAAACCGTTACTGGATATCCGAAATTTTATACAAACATCAAATAAGGAACCTAACTTAATAAAATTTAGAGGATTTGAGATTTGTGTTAAAAAGTTACGTAATAAAACTAATACTACATGTAGGCACAATGGATGATAATATTATGGATGCTTTTTTCGACAAATTTTAGAACATTAAATATAATTTAATACGTGTTAATACGCAGAATATTTACCAATTTCCGAATATATATTAATCGAAAAATATTTTTTATAACAAAGCAAATAGTAAAAATAAAATGAAGTCAATAGAGGGAAATCAAAATATTGCAGTATGATATATGAATATTCTGACAATACCAGGAACGTCGATTTGAAGATAATTTTTTGTATACAGTGTATGGGTGTGCGATTATATTAACCGATTTTGTGTGAGAGAGACGACATGTCTCGGTCGCCATTTATAGAACGCTTCTTTAATGTGGTCACTTACAAATCCATGACATGAAAGGTATAAGGGGAAAGGATTTCAAAAATTAAGAAAACTGACAAAAAAGAAAGCGTACGTACAAATGAATTGTTTTTGGGGATTAGATTTTTTTACCAAGTTATTTGTAGAGTTGCAAGTCGGCGCAATCGTTGACGTAAAATTTAAAATTAGTTGTCATTTTAGAAGAAAACGCTTCTGTTGGGCTCTACAGATTATTTGGTAGTACAACACGTTTATTAACTAAACTTTAAATTATTAAATTTTTTTATAAACATATTTTAATTTCGTCATTTTGTTTTCATTTGTTTTTTTTTTATTTTTAAGGAATATATCACTAAAATTATAGATACATCGATCAGTTCGAAATTATTAAACGTGAACATGATGACGGGACGAGAAGAACGATCAGGTTACGAGGTGAGCCGGTGCGGAGTCTAGTCGGCAGGCGCGGGCGGCGGGGCGTGCGGCGGGGCGGGCGCGTGCGGCGCGCGCATGGGCGGGAAGTGCGCCGGGTCGCGCAGGTCGAACGCGCCACCCGCGCCTGCGTCCGCGTCCGCCGCGCTCACGGCTGCACCCAGCGCCGCCGCGCGCTCCGACTCTGCACACACACGCACACTCTCACCGCCGCGCGCACGCACACGCACTTACATCCAGTAAGCTCCTTAATTTTTTTTTAAAGAATAATCTTACTCTAATACGACATAACAACATATCACTCGCCCCGTGTTGGCATTTCTTCAAGTCGTGCGACACAAGTAAAACATAAGTAAAAAAACAACAATATTTAACTAACAACCGGAGCACATTTACTTACATTAAACAAATTCTCCACAATGATTTCTCATATTTACGCGAATACTACTATGAATAAAACAATTTTTTCGGATGTTATCGCATTTAATTATACCTAACCTTAAACTTCATTTCCAACGTTCCGCCGATCCGTCAAAGTGTAATAACCTCCGAGAAGTCAGCAGTTTGTGATCATGTCCTACCATTACCACCGCCATTACATCAAATTTGACATTCCACAAATTCTTGTGAAATAATATCGATTTCTACCAAAGATGAGAGCTAGTTCCCACTGTTCACACTTGTAGCTTGTCAAACACGATTGAAACTGGAGCCATTTTTTGACAGTCTACGACTATACACAATGGAGTCAACAAAGCTTTTATTGTGATGTATTAGTCTAAAAGAAAACAAAGAAAAAAATCCATGTAAAACATTTTTTTGTCCCAAAGAACACTTCTTTTCTGAATTAGCAAGATCAAATCTTCAGTAATGATACGATCTTTTTCTATTATTACGAAACACCAAACGTACGTAGAAAATCAGTTAGCTGAAATAGGGACATAATTTGACTTCACAAAAATTCATTTTTTTATTGTAATATTTCGAGTTTTTTTTCTTTGTGATTACAAATAAAGTGTTTCTTTCTTACATACAATATGACGGATACAATAAAAACGCAATAACTCTGCGCATGCGTTGCGATATAGTGTATAATGTGAACAACGCCATACTTACTCATAGGCGAGCGATTTCGACGCGATTTTTTTACGGACGTAGAGGACTGCCAAAACACGATATTTCTTGTCGACAGCGAAAAAAACATGGTGTCGGATAAGTGTAAACAGTTTTATATAATAGAGCCCGATAGAGTGACCGACACCCGTCAAGTGAAAAAGGACTCTGATATGTGAGACCATTGAAATATAAAAAAAACATCCTAATTTCAATTGAGAAGGAGGCTGGGCTACAGCCACCCGGGTTAAGTGTCCCCGTGACCATGGATGCTGCAAAGCACTTGAAATGTTCAGAACCAAAAAAAACTAAAATTTTATTTCATTGTATTATGCTTATATTTTTGTAAAAAGTATTATACCAATGTAACTTCATCTAACACACTATTAGTAAATAAAACCTTACACTTAATGATGTAAAGAGCATTTAATTTGATAATGCAAAGTTTTTGTACCTAAAAGTTATATATTAATGGACCCAAAAATACACCATGAGGTAATCCTCTTGTAACTATGACATTAAATACTTTGTATATTATCACTTGTGTACTTTTTATTTTCCGGCGTAAATAATATTTGAAGGAATAATTAAAATGAAAAATAAAACAATGTGCCGCGCGACTTGAATATTAAGAATAGCCTGATAATCCGACCATAAACTCCAAATATTAACTTAATGCAACGCTTCTTTTCTTTAAATTCTTTGTTGTTACTTCTAAAATAGCTAGCGGAAGTAAGTAACAATATATCGTGGAATATTTTATAACACGAATTCAATTCTAATTATAGGTATGATCGATTTGCTATTGCTACAAGAAGATGCACATGAGAAACAAGTTCTGACTCAACTAATTTGGTAGACAACGACCACATCACCATCACCCGAAGCTATCGTGTTAAACGGATGTTTTATTTTATATGAATTGATTTGCATCTTAATTAATTTATTAAGAAATAATGTTGAGTTAAATCTTGTATTAATAAAGCAATTTTAGATATCAGAATCATTACCTATTTGGAGACATCTGAACATATCATATCATATTGTTAAACACGTTGCTAATATGTAAACGTTTCAATGTCGTTTGTTTCCAATTAGATAACCAATCACAAAGCGTGTTCCGCTGAAAACGGAACTATTATCAATGAAATAAAATTTAATCTAGAAACAATGAAGCAACACAACGAATTGTTTTTTGCCATAGCTATGAGACTGACGCATACGAGTAATTACACGAGCTCATCAAACGATAACGTGATAATCATATTGCCCTTGTATTACACAGCGTCAACCTTGCAGCATGAACGGTAATTACACATTTTATTAGGGCCCAAAAGATAAAATCCCTTCATACCACAATCGTAATCATTATACTTACGTCACAGTAGAAACTCTAAAAAAAGAATATGATGTGAGAAAACGAAATATGAAACGACGTCGCTCACGCCGGCGCGGGACCGACGCGAGTGCGTCGCGGCGCCGGGCGACTAGGGCGAGGCGGGCAGGGAGCGGGAGAGGCGAAGGCAAAGCTGCGCGGGGCGCGGGCGTTAGTGATCAAGTGTGCGCGTGTGTGCGTGGGAAGGTACCTGTCATGTCGTGCTGGCCGCCCCGCAGTGCGCGCGCGTAGCTGTTCCCCTCCGGCGCTGCGGGCAGCACACGTCAGCGGACACGCTCACCACACGCTCCCCCACCCCATCACTCTCACCCCCCTACTGAGCCTCGGTCGACCAGGATCGCCTTCCAAGTTATCACGCAAACACGATCGCTCATCGCCGCTTCGAGCGCACTGTAACCTCGTGGCTTTCATTACATCGGTCCTCGCTACATCGATATGAGAGAGGCGTTCTACACTATAGTATATCTCTTACTGGAACACCATTTGTGTGTTGTGTTATATTGAAGCCACGGCGAAAATTATTGCGAGGCTATCATCATCCATTTCATTAAAAATCACAGGAACGCCGAAAATTGGAAGCGATACTTATCTAATTCTAAGATTTAATTTGGTTTTACCGATTCTATTAGCGAGTGGTGGCGGTCCGCTTTAATTTTATAAAAATTTAGGGTGCGAAGTCCTAGCTAAAGATATAGTAATAAATATTATTATACTTTTATGAAATAATATACATAACATACATATACAATAATAAACAAAATAACTGAAATTACATTCCCCTAATTATTTAGTAATATCACCACAGCACAAATGAAGACATGTAATTATATAAACATTACATACATAGACATAAATTGATATATGTAACGGATACCAAACATACCGGCGGACTTTGTCTACTGTCGGAATAAAATAACGTATAGTAAGAGAACAAATAAGCAGAAACCTCTGAACGCTACCTCTACCACTAAACGTAATTTCAAATTGAAACTTGATTTCACCGTTCAAACTTCAACACTATTCACACAATTTAAGAAAAGGACCTATTTTTGATTCCATTTGAAACGAGTGAAATATAATCGATTTTCAAATAAATCAGGTATTTTGTGGTCGGTTTTCGATATTTATTCTGTGTTAACTAGGGCGATAAAAAGAATTGCGATCACATTTACAAACTACCTAATAAAAAATACAATCCATCGATATGCCGCCAAGTAACAGTAACAACAACAATTTAAGTAATCGCTCTCAGATCGTCATGTAAAATAAAAATTAATACTGCACTTGTCACTTGTAGTTTTGACTATCGTTAATTGGTTAAGCATTTCGTTTCCTTGGTAACCACATTAATTTTTCTTTAACGAGTTTATACTGATCCTGAATTTTTATTGACCCTTGAATTTCTATTAGGCCCCGAGAATCTTGCCTACACAACTGACCCCGATTAGGTATTGACATCATGGACCATTGTTTTAACTGTAGACATAAAAAGGTATGCGAATTTATAATTATAGTTGTATATTTAAATTACTTTAGTGAAAAACTGACTGTTATAGAGTACGATTGACAATTCTTACAAGATTTTCAGCTGTGAATTGTTTATAAGTAAACTTGTCCTCAATCTCAAACCTCATATTGTTACCACCTGGGCCCAAGAATATATGGAATCGTCCCCTTCTCCTTTAATCTATCAATAAATACTTCTGATAAAAATATACGAAAAAATTGAAAAATTGCTATATCACATCCGATTTTTCCGATGGTAAAAAAGGCTGCCAGTACGTAGGTACGAAAAGGAAAAGAAAATGATGATGAAAATACTAAGCTAATCCGTCAAATGAACTAGCTGTTGCATTTAAGACCGTTTATCAAATAAAAGAGAAGTGAGCGTGAACGGGCGAATTGTAACGTATGTAGACAGTGTGGAAGAGAATGAAGAGGGACCAGGCTATACAGTTAGGGAGAGACGTGAGTCAAAGGAAACAGTTGTGAGGAACAATGTTGGGCGTGGGACCGCGTCACGGCTGACAACAGCCGCACGCTGGCCCGGGCCCAATACTTGGCCCGAAGTCTTGTGCATATATTATTACTTAAACCTGGCCAGATTACACTGGTACGAACCAAAAGAAGTCACATCATGCATAAACTATCTAAAAATATTACATGTAGTCCTTTTTTGCAGTTGTAAAGTGAAAATAGCAGCTCTTAACTATTAATAAGCTGACATTACACGTAAACATTACGTTATGTTGGTAATGTTAAAATGTAAGTGTATTCGTTATTGACAAATTGTATGTAAGTTTAACATAATACACAATATTCAATTTTAGTTAATGCTCAATGATATTTTTATTTTATATGCAAAAAGAAAAATATAATTTAGCGTTTCATTATTGCGTAGACAACAAATATATATTGTAATACTAAATTATGTTACATTTACTTACATAATATGTTAAGTTTGAAATTTGTAATTAAAATCATTCTGCATATCACATTGTTCAACGTGCATGAAAACATTTTAGCACCGTGAATCGAGATCATATTTGCGTTCTTATGTAATATGCATGTACGTTGGTGTGTGCATATATATTGTATGTGTTGTGGTGAATGACGTAAGTTCATGTAGGTGCGGCATGTCGTGCGGGCCGTGTATGCACACACGTGTGCGTGCGTATGCGTCGCTACGTGATCTACTTGGTTGTGCGGCATGATGTGTTGGCAGTGCATGTGAATGTGTGCGAGTATGCAAGTATATGATGTTTAGGCGAACGACGTACGTTCATGTAGGCGCGACGTGTGGAGCAGGTAGTGTGTGCATGGGTATGCGCGTGTAGGTGTAGCGTGTTTTGCGGGCTTGTATTTAGTACGTACATGACGTGTTTTTCCGGCGCGATGTGTTGGCGGTGTGCGTGCCTACATACATGTACGAGTGTTGTGCAGGCGTATAATATGCATATATAGGCACGAGTGGGTGCGGCGTGATTTTGTAACAGAATAAGGGTGACAAAAGAGCACACGGTCCACCTATTGGTAAGTGGATTTTGTGGATTGTCTTCAATTAAGAATGTGTTGTCACCTCTAAGGACGTGATGGACATAGTGTGTGTACGTACATGTGTACATGCGCGTGTATGTGTGTGCGTGCGGCTAGTGTATGTGCGTACCTTCGTGTGCGTGCGGCGCGTCGAGCAGGCGGTGCGTGCGCAGCAGTGCCCATTCGCCGACCCGTTCGTGTGTGTGTAGTGTGTGTACGTACATGTGTACGTGCGCGTGTACGTGTGTGCATGCGGCTAGTTTGTGCGCGTACCTTCGTGTGCGTGCGGCGCGTCGAGCAGGCGGTGCGTGCGCAGCAGTGCCCATTCGCCGACCCGTTCGTGTGTGTGTAGTGTGTGTACGTACATGTGTACGTGCGCGTGTACGTGTGTGCATGCGGCTAGTTTGTGCGCGTACCTTCGTGTGCGTGCGGCGCGTCGAGCAGGCGGTTTGTGCGCAGCAGTGCCCATTCGCCGACCCGTTCGTGTGTGTGTGTAGTGTGTGTACGTACATGTGTACGTGCGCGTGTACGTGTGTGCATGCGGCTAGTTTGTGCGCGTACCTTCGTGTGCGTGCGGCGCGTCGAGCAGGCGGTGCGTGCGCAGTAGTGCCCATTCGCCGACCCGTTCGTGTGTGTGTAGTATGTGTACGTACATGTGTACGTGCGCGTGTACGTGTGTGCATGCGGCTAGTTTGTGCGCGTACCTTCGTGTGCGTGCGGCGCGTCGAGCAGGCGGTGCGTGCGCAGCAGTGCCCATTCGCCGACCCGTTCGTGGTGTGTAGTGTGTGTACGTACATGTGTAAGTGCGCGTGTACGTGTGTGCATGCGGCTAGTTTGTGCGCGTACCTTCGTGTGCGTGCGGCGCGTCGAGCAGGCGGTACGTGCGCAGCAGTGCCCATTCGCCGATCCGTTCGTGTGTGTGTAGTGTGTGTACGTACATGTGTACGTGCGCGTGTACGTGTGTGCATGCGGCTAGTTTGTGCGCGTACCTTCGTGTGCGTGCGGCGCGTCGAGCAGGCGGTGCGTGCGCAGCAGTGCCCATTCGCCGACCCGTTCGTGTGTGTGTAGTGTGTGTACGTACATGTGTACGTGCGCGTGTACGTGTGTGCATGCGGCTAGTTTGTGCGCGTACCTTCGTGTGCGTGCGGCGCGTCGAGAAGGCGGTGCGTGCGTAGCAGCGCGCATTCGCCGCCCTCGTGCGCGTCGAGTGCGTATACGTACAGCACACCCGCGCAAGTTGCTACCAGCAGACGTGCGCCAGCAGATCCACGAGATACGCTACACACACGCACGGTTCAAATACACGTTTGGTATGCAATTTCATACATTTAGTTTTACTGTCGTTTAAATGTAGATTTTAATGTTAAACTAATGTACTAATTTTGATTTAGAAATATTCATATATGCCGTTACAGTTTAAAAATAAATGAAGTATCATCAGCAAATGATACTATATCAGTCTTTCTCAAAGTGGGCGAAAACGCTTCATTGTGGGTGTTGGAAACCTAGAGGGGGGCGCTAAGGTGTCCAGAAAAAATGGGGGGCGTGCTTGCTGTACATCACGTTATACATCGACAACATTTTGTTGCTAGAAATTTAAGTGAACGACTGTTTCAATCATTGCAATATGTCATCAGAGCAATCAATAAAATTCGAAACAACTCTTTAAATAACAGATAATATAATCAGCTTTGCGCTACTAATGATAAAGATTTCAACCGATTGATCTTTCACACAGAAGTGCGTTGACTATCAAAAGGAAATTGTCTGACTCGATTTTACAATTTGTTTGACTGTGTCGTAGAGTTCTTGGAAAACAAGGACACAGAACCTCAACACATCAAAGAATGATATCGCATACCTGACAGACTTTTATAAATTGCTTAATGATATAAATCTCTAACTTTAAGGCGGTGACTTGAAAAAATGGCTACCATGAATTTTGGCTACATAAGTCAATCCCGCAGTCGTACCCTAGATTGTGGTCGATCGTTCAACGATTTTTAATAGCATTCCCATCGTCATATTTGTGTGAACGTGGTTTGAGCGCTGTGACAACGCTGCTTACTAAAACAAGAAATCGTCTGCATGTCTTACGACTGTTTTTGAGTAAAGTCGAACATGATATCAACAAAATTGTTAAAAATCATCAAATTCATCCATCTAATTAGGTTAGTTTTAAAACTAAAATTGATTACCTATCTATATTGTTTTTTTAATCTGATTAAAATATATTCTTAATATTATAAAGTTGCGTTTTAATTGTTCTCATTGGTAATAATGTCTATTTTAGAATGTAATTTTAAACACTTAATAATAAATTGGGGTTTTTAAGTTTTAGGGGTATTTAAAAATTGGGGGCGCTGAAAAATATTTGATTTTGAAAGGGGCGGTAAACGAAAAAAGCTTGATAATCTCTGTGGTACATCATGATTTTCCCATATAATTCGAGGTAAGTTAATAACATAGACTAGAAATAGGAATTATGTCCTAAGGAAAACCCATTAGTACAGGTGACCAAATAACTTGTCAAAATAACTTTTACCATAGATAATAATTTTCTGAGTTCTATTACTTAATTATGAAATAATACGTTTAAGATATTGGCATTATAAGGCTGATTGAACATTGAAGCCTTCTGATTATTGTTTCATGGTGTGTTGAAGAGTCGAAGGCCTTAAAAATCATAAAATCGGGTGAAGGTACCAAATATGATACACCATTTTCATTTTTGCGTATTTCTCGTAAAATGTCTCTGGTGAGAAGGCTTACGTTATAGGTTAAGGTTTACGTGATAATTCATTAGATTTAATGTATATTTCAAAACTATAAATAAAATTTAGCAATAGTATTTACCATAGAATACTATAATACATACACAATAGAACGGGGGAGTGGGCGGTGCCCGTGTAGCCACTAACATGTCAATTTACACCTATAAATGTCAACACATTTCTTTTGATGTCACAGTTGTTGGACAATTTTTGTGTCAAGCTTTGTTGGGTGCAATTTATTTCAAAAACGCTAATTTGTGGGATAATTACTTGTCCGAAAAACAGCCCGATGTGGAATTTGAATAAAAGTGGTATATCCTTTCACCAGTAAGTCGAAACTATTTATATTTTGTGAATGTAAGAATCAAAAATAAAGAAAGATTGGTGTGTAAAATCCATCAGTATCAGGGATGTAACAAAATTTTACTCATACCGATACCCCGGTAAATTGTTTTTTATAGTAAGATCACTTAGCTTTCATTTTAGCCGTTTAAGTTTAAGTTTTTTTTTATAGGACAGGGTGACAAACGAGCACACAGTCCACCTGATGGTAAGTGGTTGCTGCGGCCCATACACATCTACATCCATCCTCGATTACAAATCAAAATGCAGATGCGTTGTCACCCGTGAGGACTAAGATGGAATGCCTCGTTTCCAGTAAAAAGGGTCTCCGGGTTCTCTACACTCGCCATACGAAACACAGCAGCATTAAGCTACTATTTTACGCTGGTATTCTGTGAGAGCGTGGTCCTTCCCCGGCAGTAGCAGTCGAGTCGAGTCGTCGAGCAGACCATTCGTGCTACATACAACCATATTACCAATATATTTGCAACATGGCTCCACTACGTAGAAAAGTTAGTTACATTTGAGATGGATTTTAGGAACTAATTTTTGAGCGATTTTTTTCCTTGCAAATGTAACCTTAAACCGAAGGAATCTTTTGATAAACGTCAAATGGTTTTAGATAACGAAATCACTTCTAATAAATTTTCAGCTTAAAGATATATAAAAGATTAAAGATGATTATTTAAATTATTTTTGAAGTACGATGAAAGAAATTGCAACTTTTATAAAAAATGATGGGCAAAAGTCAAAAATTAAGAAACGAGAAAGAATGAAAATATAAGGAAATTCATACACATTTCAGATTGTACGCGGGAATGGATCAGACATTGGCATTTATGAGGCGAATAGTTTCGCGTTGAGTATTGCGTAGCCTCGACTAGCTTATAAAATTGGACGTATCGTTTGACTTTTACTAACGGTAAGCAAGCAAGACGTGCCAAGTCTACAAAAGACATCGCAGTTTCAAAATGTATTTATTTATTTAACAAATTATAGATAATACAAAGGATATAATATGGTACAACATAAGCTTAATGAAAACTTTGCCGTGTGTGAAAACCACAAAATGTTTTATCTATTGAGTTATTAAGGACTTAGTTCCAACACTTAGCGAACATTTTTCATGTATTGCGCTACGGTGCTGAGAAAAAATTATGTATTGCAAGCAGTTACTTTAAATTATTCTTTCGTCGTTTCAAAAGACTAAAAACATGCTTTTCAAAATTAATTTCTAGTTGTATTACCTTAAATACCATATTAATTACAATGCGAGGTTTCATAGGGTACAGCTATCTTAATCATATGTGTGGTTTAGCACTACTGCACCTACTGTGATGACTTGCTGAGTTTGAAAGCTGGGAGAGCCGTTGCAATTAGAAACTGTGAGGGATCTCGCCTTTCGTAGTAGAACCAGAAGAGGCAATGGGTCTGCCATATGGCTTGAAGAACCGACAACCGATGGGAAAGAAAGGTTCTCGAGTGGCAGCCTCGCACCGGTAAGCGCCCCCCACTAGATAGACCTAGTAAGACATGCAGGAATTCGATGGATGCAGGTGGCTCAGGATACGTACGCTGTAGCGTTCCTAGCGAGAGACCTATGTCCAGTGGTGGACTTTTGATGGGCTGTAATGATAATGATGTCTTGGTAGCTCAGATGGTTAGCGCTCGCTGAAAATTTCACAGTACGCGAGTAAAACAGGTTCGATCCCCACCGGCACCAACGAAATTGTTAATTGCAATTTTAAGTGCTGATTTACTACGAGTTCGGCGGTGAAAGTAAACATCGAGAGGAAACCTGCACGTCTGAGAAATAAAAAAAAACATTCGATCACACGTGAAGTTCGCCAACACACATTGGGGCAGTGCGGCGGACACTACCTTTCCCTAAAACCCTCTCGAAATGAGAGGTGGCCTGTGCCCAGCAGTGGGATTTATATATGCTGTAACTTAAACTTTAATGATAATGATGATCAGGCATCTCGTCTCTTAGCCCTATATAGCATCCGTAGCCCGTCAGTTGGTACAATCAAAAGTATCATTAAAAAAAACATCTTTGCAGTTCACGTGCGGTAGATGTGGAATCTTCAGAAATTTAAACTTCGAGAGAATGAAACGAATGTACAGTACCAGGAGTAGGATATAGGATTGTTTTAATTAAAATATAAATAAATTTATAACAAACACTGTACACTGTATTCTATCTCTCTTGAAGGCTAAATCTAATCTATAGATGTAATGTTTGTCTCTTTTTAGTGTCGCTTTTTCGTTTCATCGAGTTTCAACTCACAACGATTCTAATTTAAAAAAAAATTTAAAATTAGAATAGTTGTGAAGAAATTTTCACTTTAAAAAATCTTAAACTAGTGACCTGACATTGAGGGTACATGTACGAAATTGGCAAATATTTAAAAAGACGTTAAATCCACTTTAGGATTTTCTTTTACTTTCTCTTAAATACATAAATTACACACGGACAAACATCCAGATCCGGAACAATCATCTGTAGACCATACAAATACTTGTTCCGTTTGGGATTCGAACCCGCGACCCTCAGCACTGCAACTAATTGATACGTCACTGCATCACGAAGCCGTCATAGTCAGGGCACATGTTAGGGCACTGACTTGGAATGGAGGGTACATGTAAAGGCACTAACTTGGTGATGGCGACGACTGCTCGATGCCCACAGACGGGCAGGCGAGCTGACGCGAAGGCTCGTCCTTGTGCCAGCACGTCAGCCACGGCACCCGGCAGGTATCCGGCGCCCGCAGACACCGCCTGCGACAGCCACCCCATCCATCCCTCGGCCGCACCCTCCCCCTCCCCAACCCCTTCACCCGCACCCCCACTGCCCGCTGCGCCCACACTCGCGCTCGTCTCTTCTTCCAACCGGAATACGTGCACTGTCTCCGTGTTGGACGTAGCCGCCAATAGCTGTCCGCAAGCGCTAAACGCTAGACATCCGATACTGACGCAGCGCTTGACTCCTCGTCGGAACTCGTACAAACGCGTGCGCTCCGGCACCGCGAACACTCGGATGACGGTGCCGCGCTCGGACGCGGTGGCCAGCCTCCGCCCGCACATGGACCACGCGAGAGCCGCCAGCGGGCTATCGTGCGCGCTCAGCACGCACTTCGCGTTCAAATGCACCGCGTCAAAGATCTGCACTTCGCCGACTGCACTCGAGCCGGGATATGCGACGTAACAGCGGTCCACGTTGGGCGAGAGCGCGCACAATCCACGCGGATTGGGAGGCGTGTCACGGATCGTGTGCAAGATCCGCATGTCGCGGATGTTGTGGATGTGCAGCGACTCCTCCAGGCACACGATCAGCCGCTGCAAGCCCACCATCGAACATATTAATAACGCGTGGTATCTACTGTTACCATTGCAGCCTATTAAAGTCCACTGCTGAACATGGGCCTCCCCACAGGTTGCCTCACAGGGAATGTTTGCCGCAGTTGGCACGCTTGCCAAGTGGGGTGGTGACCGCGGTTTTTTACTTTCAGTTGTTAAAAAGACGCTGCCGCCCACCTCCTGATTTGTTTTCTTCTGTCGCCTCTTACCAAGGCACGGGACTGCGTTATGATCGCAGCGCGAATGGGAACCTCGACTAGGGTAGGACCACGCTCGCACAGAATACCAGAATGAAATAGAAACTTAATGCTGCGGTGTATTGTATGGTAAGTGTAGAGAACATGATACCCTTTTTATTTACTGGAAACGAAGCATTCCGTCTTAGTCCTCAATAGTGTCAACGCATCTGCGTTCGGATTCTTATTGAGGATAAATTAATGCAGATGTCTATGAGCCACAGCATCCACTTCCCATCAGGTGGACTGGACTGTGTGTTCCTTTGTCACCACCATTATATAAGAAATTAAGATTTTTTAAATCTTAATTACACATACCAATCGATAAATCCTTCAATGAATATATAACCCGAATTTGACATGATCATAAATAACATAAACATATATTTTCAAGTAATATACAAGATGATTTATCAATAAAAATATCCGAACAAGTGAACTAGGCACAACTTATTATAATCAGTGAATGGTAACACGTCAAAACAAAAACAATAAGAGCAATGACACTTACAGATCGGTTGAGCTTGACTGCGAGAATGGTATTGCTATAGCTGTAGTTGCAGATCTCTGTGCCTTTCTTGTAGTGGCACACGATGAGCTTTCTGCAAGTGAGACGTGACGTTTCTTAAAGCAATAAGTTCGCATTCATACTATACATACTTATACTTGTGGGTACTTTATAAGGTTGACCACGCTGCAGCAATCAGTTATGATTGCAGAACAAATGAGTCAGCTCATAATATATAATACCATCATAAAATTGCAGCTTAGTACTGCGTTTTGAAAGGTAAGTGTAGATTTTCAGCTGGTACGAATATGTAAACGCGCTGTACTCGTCACACTATAGTACAGTTGACGCGTTCACCGCACTTCGCATTTCTTTTACATATAAATTTTGAATTATTTTCTCAGTATTTCTGCATTAGTTTTCATTAATTATTAAATTCTACCATTTTCACAATTACCGATGGGTCGGATATTGTTTACCATTCTGTATATACATAGATAATATACATAGATAATATTGAAAAAAAATGAAAAAGAGAAATTTAAAAATAGATGTATGTTTTTTTAATATATCGTTTTTTTTGATATCTTTACATTGCCATCAGATTCTCAACTATTTTCAAAACTCAAGTCTCTCGAAATTCAATTTAAAATCAATTACTAAATTCGACCCGAAATAAATTATACCACGTTTTCGTTAACTCGGTTACTTGTAACAAGTTAGCTCGATTACTTGTAAAGAGGTAACGAAAACGTGGTAAAAAAAAGGAATTTTTTTTGCCGTGTGTTCTCCGGTTAGGAGAACCTCACTTTGAAACGATAGCAGATTTTGAAAAAAAAAAGACATTTGTCGTTTTCGCAATCAAACTATTACAGCGATAAAACTGATTACAAAAGGGACAAGCCGTTAATAATTACCAATACTGACAAATCTTCAAAATTTCATGTGATAGAGCCACGATGCAGCTATGTTATGGTTGTAGGACGAAATGGTTCGGCTCGACCGGGGAAGGACCACGATCTCATAGAATACCAGCGTCAAATAGCAGCTTAATGCTGCAGTGTTCCTTACTGTGAGCGAAGAGAATCGAAAACTCTTTTTACTGGAAACGAGGCATTCCATCTTTGTTCCCAGAGGGACAACATATCTGTATTTTTTTTTAATTAAGATATGGATGACAAACGAGCACACAGTCCACTTGATGGTAAGTGGTTACTGTGGCCCATAGACATCTATATCCATTCTCGAGAACGATCGTGTAGCACGAAAGGCTCGAGCCTAACCCATTCGTAGTACAACTATACTACTAATATAGCTGCAGCATGACTCTACCACGTGAAAGAAACCAGCAGGTTTTTCGAGTTTTTCATAATTTTGACCGAGGATAGGTGGAGATATCTATGGATCACAGCATTCACTTACCATCAAAAGGGCTGTGCGCTGGTTTGTCACCTATATTCTATAAACAAATGGACTATAACTGCTATATTCCCAACTAAATATATCAAATTGTAGTATTCAATAAAATAGATATAAATTACTATTACTGAACATGTTCTAGTAGTACTTTGTTATCGAGCAATTTTTGCGTAATCCACGAGAGACCTCGACAAATCGCGCGCATGTCAGGGCCAACGTAGAGGCACTTTAAGGTCGCGGAGATGTAGTACGTGTCAAGTGTGAAAATGCACTCGTGACCTACAAGAACTAGATATGTACACTTTGGAACTAATAGCTATTGATGCACTAAAGTAATGATGATCCTTAAATTTATACACATTCGATTTGAGATAAATAAACAGAACAAAACTATCCTGGCAATGAGATGATCGCCACCAAACTATTTCTAAATTGTTTTGTGCTGTAAATGTTAAATGATTGTAAACTATTTTTTTAAAACATGTCCTTCTATATTTCTTGCTGGTTCTTCCCAGGACAGAGGTGATTTCCGAGCCCATGGTAAATTAAACATAAGAGTGACTTTCTATAAGTTAAATTGTTTTGTGCTGTAAATATTAAATGATTGTAAACTATTTTTTTAAAACATGTCCTTCTATATTTCTTGCTGGTTCTTCCCAGGACAGAGGTGATTTCCGAGCCCATGGTAAATTAAACATAAGAGTGACTTTCTATAAGTAACTATTATTTATAATCTATATTAAATAAATAAGTTTATATTCTATTCCTGTTCATCAGTATCTAAGTAGGATTGTAAAATATTATGAAATACAAATGTATAAGAAAATGCAGAAATAGAAAATGACCGCCTACATACGATCCATATTCCATACATGATTCCGTATGAAGACCTTTCTATAGTTGAGATAATCTGTCGGAAAGTCGTTCAAGACTACTCATAAATTATTCCATTTATTACACGAGTAGGTACCTCTTTAGTTAACGCAAAAGCCTTCGGTTGCTCTTTTTCTTCATCAATACGCAAAAGTTTGTTGCTTGATATGGGACTGTACTGATCACAGAAATCGTAATATTGTCTTATTATTACTATTTCTGTTTGCCTAACTGCTTCGCGTGGTAGAGCCACGTTGCACATATATAATATAGCTTGACTCTACCGACAAAGGACCGCGCTCTCACATAATACCTCGATACTAGTGTGTTCTGTGTAACTGGAAACGAGGTATTCCACCTTAGACCACACGGATGAGAACTCATCTGCAATTTGTTGCATCTTTAAATTCTTAATTGAGGATATATAATATTTATTTCAGTTCACTGATGTAATTAATATTATTTTGAAACGTAACCCCATACGCAAATAAATTAGTTTTATTTCTAAATAAAAATAGAAAAGGAATTCGAACTAATCAGCTGGCATCGTGCACGCCGCTTGTCCGAAGCGTGGCGGCCAAGTTCACCGAGCATTGTCACCTCAGTTACAGTCAATACAACAATAAAAACATAAATGTCTTCTAATTTTGACATTTTGAGTATTTAACGCAGCACCTCGGTGAATTTTTGACAATTTTAAATATCCTGTCTTACTGGAATCATGGTCAGTATCTTAAATTATTATAAGTGTATTGATGATAAAAGATGATGTCTTAATCAAAGTCAATCAATGTCCCCGGTGCCACATCGTTAGTTTTCAAATAACACAAGTTTTTTAACTGATCTTAAAAGGGTAAAAGTTATGAATTTCACCGTATTTTTTACATTTTATAACATAATGTGTAGATTTAAAAAAGTAGGTTTTCAACTCGATTTGTTTGTTATTTTGCATGTCACTTAATACCTACATAAATTTTAAATCGATTTTGCTGATTGTTTTTATTAATACCTCAGACTTAAAAACTGTAGGGAAAATAAAATCAACCCCCTAATAGCTAATAGCGTTAAATAAAACGAATTTTCCGGATTTCATCGCGTTTAATTTTAACATGATAAAAATAACATCCGTGAAATTACTTTTATTCAACTGTTTGTATAAATATAATACCCAGCCCACAGCTAACATTTTAATGTAAGTATTTTGACAAAATTGACATTGTAATCCTTAGTCACAATCGAGCACACAGTCCACCTGATGGTAAGTAGACGCCGCGCTGTGGACTAGGCATCTACATTACCAACCAAAATGCAGAGGGGTTGTCACCCCTGAGGGCTCAGGTGGAATGTCTCGTTTCCAGTAAATAGGTTACGATACACAGCAGCATTAAGCTACTACTCTAAGGTGGCATTCTGGTAGAGCGTGCTACTTCCCCGGTCGAGCCGACCATTCGTGCTACAAATATAACATAGCTGCAGCGTGGTTCTCATATGTTTTAACAAAAAGTAAAACCGACTCGAAATAAACTAAAAAGGATAAATTAATTTCAGATTCTGGAGTCGAAAGGATTTAATTCTCCTACACACTGTGCCACAGCACCAGCTTCACAGATTTTTTTAGTTACAGTAATAGTAACAAGCGGGTCACCTCTGTATCTCACCACCTGCTTGATCCAATTGTCGCTCTAAACCATCCGGGGACCCACTCTAACACACAAATGAGTCCGGCCGTTCTCAAGTGACGATCTTTCATACATACGATAATTTATTTTCATTTGTATAGATTAGATTTGCAACGAATAAAAGAAACTTATACATGGTAGAGCCATGCTGCAGTTATATTAGTAGTATAGTTGCAGCATGAATGGGTCGGCTCGACCGGGGAAGGACCACGCTCACACAGAATACCAGCATAAATGCTGCTGTGTTTCGTATAGCGAGTGTAGAGAACTGGGAGACCCTTTTTACTGGAAACGAGACATTCCATCTTAGTCCTCACGGGTGACAACGCATCTGCATTTTGATTTGTAATCGAGGATGGATGTAGATGTGTATGGGCCGCAGCAACCACTTACCATCAGGTGGACTGTGTGCTCGTTTGTCACCCTATCCTACAAAAAAAAAAGAAAAAAGTATAGTATATTCGGCCTCTCGCCGAATACCGAATATTCTGTGGACTTCCCGACCGAATAGCCGATTATTAGGTAAAAGTAATCGACCCGGAAGAAAGTAGTGTTTATTCTTCAGAACCATTCTCTGAAGCTGGAGTGTCTACGAGAAGAAAAAGAGTAAGCTACTCAATACTAAGAAGCAAAATTAGTCTTTCTGCACCATTATCTTCCACTTTAATTACGATAATTCCAGTGCAAAGACAATTATCTGATAGTTCTTTTTCGATAACAAGAAAAAAAATCATGTAATAAATAAATATTTTCATTTTACCAATTATCGGAGTACAATAAAACCTCTTAGTTAAGTATTCGGCATCCGACCGAATAGAATAAAAGTAGCCGAATAGGCCGAATACCAAATAGTAATCGAATATTCGTTGCAAGTCTAGCATTGGTCTTGCAAGTCTAGTAAGATTCATTTTTATATCGAATTCATTACTTTAAAGCATTCCTCTAAACATAATATATAATTTCACAATTTAATCGCACAATATTTATTACAGTATTAAAAATTATATTACAAAATTATAATAATGAACTTAACTAAAATAATAATTAAAATTATAATATTTACGATTAATACTAATTATATACAATATAAAAAAAGAAACTATAATATAGAAAAATTAAAACT